AGTAGTGCTACTAGGAATCCCCGTAGGAGTCCCAGTAGTCCTACTAGGAATCCTCGTAGGAGTCGTAGGAGTCCTAGTAGTCCTACTAAAAATCCTCGTAGGAGTCCTAGAAGTCCTACTAAGAGTCCTCGTAGGAGTCCTAGTAGTCCTACTAAAAATCGTCGTAGGACTCCCAGTAATCCAACTAGGAATCCTCGTAGGAATCATTGTAGGAGTCCTCGTAGGAGTCCTACCAAGAGACCTCCGAACTGCTTCAAACACGCCGCCGACAGACATCCCACGATATCCCAACGGTCATCATCATCATCATCATCACCATCATCATCATCATCGTCATCGTCGTCGTCATCGTCATCATCATCACCATTCGCATCATCATCATCAACATCTTCCTCATCATCGTCATCATCGTCGTCATCATCCTCGCCATCATCACCATCATCAGCATCTTCCTCATCATCGTCATCCTCGACATCATCATCAACGTCATCGTCATCGTCATCATCGTCATCACCACCATCACCATCATCATCATCACCGCCATCACCATCATCGTCATCATCATCACCATCCTCACCATCTTCCTCACCATCCTCATCATCATCACCACCCTCATCATCCCCAGCGGGGCACGCCGCAGGCAGCTGGATAAACCTCTACTCACCCTGCTCCTCCTCCTCCTCCTCCTCCTCCTCCTCCTCCTCCTCCTCTTCCTCCTCCTACTATCGTCCCTCTTCCTCCCCTTCATCATCGTCATCATCATCCGCAACTTAGTCCACATTATCATCATCATCGTCACCATCATCGTCATCATCATCCACACCCACGTCATCCTCCTCATCATCATCCTTATCATGATCATCATCCTCATCTTGATCATCATCATCATCATCGTCATCGGCATTATCAGCACCATCCTCGTCCACCTCATCATCATCGTCATCATCATCACCAGCCACATCCACGTCGTCATCATCATCATCATCATCGTCATCATCACCACCATCATCATCATCAGCGTCATCGTCGTCGTCATCGTCATCGTCATCATCATCACCACTATCATCATTATAGGCATCGTCATCGTCATCGTCATCACCCTCATCATCATCACCATCGGCATCGTCATCGTCATCGTCGCCATCATCAACGTCACCACCACCACCACCATCATCATCATCATCATCATCATCGTCATCGTCATCGCCATCGTCATCGTCGTCGTCATCATCATCATCATCCTGATCATCATCACCATCATCATCATCGTCATCATCATCATCGTCATCATCATCATTATCATGTTGCGCACCCTTCGCGAGTACGGCCCTTTTTGCCCCCTCGAACGAGCGGTGCCCAGCATCATGGCCTGGCACGGCGGCGGGACTTGCCGCAGGCACCTGGTATTAACAAGCGCCCCCTCCCACAAACTCCTTATTAATAAGCACACCCATCCCAGGCGACCAGCGAAGAGGGGGGGCGCGAATCGACGATCCGAGCCTTCCGCCCGAAGAGGCCCCCACGATGCACCAAGAGGCCTGCAAAAAACCCCAAGAGGCCCCCAGGAGACCCCTAAAGAGGCCCCTAGACGGCTACCAAGAGACCTCCGGACTGCCTCAAACATGCCGCCGACAGACATCCCACGATATCCCAACGGGCATCATCATCATCACCACCATCATCATCATCGTCATCGTGATCACACTGGTAATACTGATGATACTACTGAATATAAAGATGAATATGACTCTGAAGATGAAGATGAAGATGCTGATGATGATGGTGGTGATCCTGATGATGATGATGATGGTGATGATGATGATGGTGATGATGATGATGGTGGTGATCATGATGATGGTGATGATGGTGATGATGACGAGGAGGAGGAGGATTGATTCTTTCCTCCATGGCGCACATGCGGTGATGATGAAAATTGTTAGCTTCCCTCCAGAGGGAAAGGGGGCCCCACCACGGGAAGCACCAGCCGTGGAGGAGAAGGAAGATGGACACCAGCCCTAAGAGACGAACAGGCGGCCAAGAGCACGAGGCAAGAGAAAATCCACATTCCTCACAGGGGAGCATTCCGCACACATGGCAAGCAGCAGGAGAGATAAGCGGGGCGCGCCGGGGCAGCAGACCGCACTGTAAGTGGAGGAGAGAGAAAAGGGGAGGGGTGATGATGGAGAGAGGGAAAGACGCGTCGTGTGGGCATCCCCGATGGCTCTACCAGCCATTTTCTATAAACATACAACGGACGCAGCGGAGAAAGAGGAGGGCGGGAGGCGAGGGGGATCGAACAATAAGGGAGGAGACAACGTATCCATTCATAGTCGAGTGACCGCCACGCTAAACCTCAGATCCCTCAAGTGAGACGGCGGGCTGAGGAAGAAAAGCACCGCAAGAGCCAGTATGCACTTGCAGGACGCAGCCTGTCAACACTTGATTGTGTGAAAAACCCTGGTCCACCAGATGCGGGCAAGGGGTTAGACATGGAACGGTCGAAGATACGCCCGCGCTACACCACTGCATAACATATTAGGAATGTGCAACGTCAATTGTCCGTCGCCACTTTCGCCGCCATACCGACGGGAAAGAACGAGGAGGAAGGAGGAGGAGTAGGATGAGGCATGGCAAGGCAAGCGAAGCTACAACCAGCCGACGGTAGCAAAAACCAAAAGCCCATGTCGTGCTGGTAGGCGGCTGTCGTGTTCCTCCTCCTCTTCCCCCTCCTCCTCCTCTTCCTCCTCCTCCTCCCCCTCGTACTTTTGCTGCTCATCGCATAATTATCCTCCTCCTCCCTTTCCTCCTCCTTCTCCCCCTCCCCCTCCTCCTCCTCCTCCTTCCCCTTCCTCCTCCTCCTCCTCCTCCTCCTCCTCCTCCTCCTCCTCCTCCTCCTCCTCCTCCCTGCGTCGCACTTCCCCCCCCTCCCTCCCTCCCCTCCTCGCCCTCCGCCTCTTCCCCTCCCCATCCTCCTCTCCTCCTCCTCCTCCTCCTCCTCCTCCTGCCCCTGCTTCTCCTGCCGCTTCCCGCCACCTGATCGCGCATCCCACTCCTCCTCCCCCCTTTTCCTCCTCCTCGTCCTCCTTCTCCTCCTGCTCCTCCTCCTCCGCGCCCTGCCCCTCCACCTCCCCCTCCTCCTCGACAGCCCGCCCCCAGCCGCGCGGCGGAAGTCGCCAAATGAAATGAGCGGCGAACCGCCCCGCACGAGGCAATGGTTCACTGCGAACAGACCGCAGCTCAAGCCCACCTGGGCGCCGCGGCTGACAGCGCCGCAGGCAGGGTCATTGTACCACGCGGGGACATCGCCCTCGAGCCGCGCGCCGATGCGGCGGCCCAGCAGCTCGCACCACCAACCCTGAGGGGCTGGCGCGAGGATGGGCGCTCGCTCCGCGGCCCCCCGCGCGGGCTCCGAGGCGCTGCCGGCCGATTGGGTCTCCTGGGTGGCAGGCTGGATGGGGCCCTCTGCCAGCTCACCACCCAGGCTGGCCGTCGGGATCGCCCGCGCGGTGAGGGGGGCACCGCCCGCCGGCGGGGTCGCCTGGGAGGCTGGCGCGATCGGGTCCTCCGGGAGCTCCCTCGGGCGTCCGCGCCACTCCTCTGCGGGGGGCAGAGCGCCCGCGCCCGCCAGGGCCGCCGCCTTCCGCGGGCGGCTCGCGGACTCCACGGCCGGGGTGACTGGCAGCGGCAACGGCCCCTCCACCTACGTAGGAACGAAAAAAAACATAACGACCACCACCAGGGCGAGGAGGTGCGAGGAGCCAGGGGGGGTCTCCTTGGCGGTGTGGCCCCCCTCCCGCTCGCGACATCCCGAACTCCCAGCTCGGGGGGGCGTCGTCGACCTCGCTGGAGGTCGCTTCCCTGGCGGCGTTGGCGTCGCTTCTCCTCCCCCCGATCCACCGGGCCCTTCGAGCCGAGAGGGCGGCGCCGCGCCGTCACCTCCTTGGGGGCCTCGGCAACCGGCGCCGGCGCGGTGGCCTCTCGGCGGCCGTCGGCGCGAGCGTCGCCAGCGGCTGCCGCTGCGCCGTCGGCTGCGTCGCCCTGGGCGGCTGCCCGCCTCTTGGCCGCCATGGCCAAGCGCTTCTCCGTCGAGAATGCCAGCTTGTGCATCCGGCCCCTTGTGGCCTCACGCGATCGCCGCATGCCCTCCTCGTAGTCGGGCGGCCAAGCAAAATGCAGGCCATCGGTCGTGCGTCGAGAGCATCACTTTCCACTGGGTTGCCCGGATGTACGATGCCAGCCTGCCACGCCCATCCTCGGTTTTGGCTGTCAAGCGTCCCCGATTGGGCACGTCCTCCTTCAAGGTGCGCCACGTCGCGTCTATGAGGCACGTGGATGCAATCGCTGCCCCCCCTGCGTTTGCACGTTCGCCGAGACATCGACGCTCCGAGAGAATTCCGCGAGGGGCTTGCGGCTGTGGTTGACATGATGCGCATCGACGACGCCTTTCGGCCACGGCTTGCTCATGTAAGCCTGGGCCGAATCACTCATGAGCACGAGGTTGGCTCTGTCCGAAAAGATGCCCGCACACGCTTCATGCCAGCACTCCAGCTTCAGGGGCGGCAGGCGGCCCTCGCCCACGGACGAGGTCACCCCCACCTCTTTCAACCAAATCTTCTCGGGCGCGCCTCTTTGCATGACGCCCATCCACACGCAATCCGCCACCATGCCCTCGGGCAAGATGTCTTGCATGGTAGGGTGCTGCGGGGTCCAATGCGGGAGCGGCCCAATACCCCCCAAAGAGGACCCCTGGACGGCCCAAGAAGCCGCCTCATCATCATCATCATCATCACCATCACCACCACAATCATCACCATCACAAGCACCCTCATAAGCATCATCATCACCACCATCACGAACAGCATCATCACCACCCTCATCATCATCACCGTCACCATCACCATCGTCATAATCACCATCATAGTCATCGTCATCCTTTCTACCAGCTGGCACTGGCACGGCAGCGGGACTTGCCGCAGGCAGCTGGATAATGATACGTGCGGGTGCCGGAACCGTCATCCTCGGGCCAGCTAAAGAATTGGGATTCGTCCGCTTCCACATCGCACGTTTGGCCATCAGGCAGTTGGCCGAAACATATGCACGATTGCCTCCTCACGGCGTCGGCGGCCATGATGCGACGGGCCTCGTCGTAGAAACGGGCGACCACTGTGTCGTGCAACGAAAGCTGCGACACAGTCACTGTCTGGCTCACGCCTGCCACCGCGCTCATGTAGCACAATACGTTATCTGTGAGAGAGGTGATTCCGCAGCCGATGCGATCACCCAACAACATGCTGCCCGCGGCGGGGCCGAACCGGGAGCAACAGTTTTTGCACTGGTACCAGCACGTGCTGACGGACGCGTCGCACGCACCGACGTCCTGCTTCTGAAGTAGCGGCCCGAACCTGCACTTGTCGATGTCGCCTGTTTCGGAGGCCGCGCTCAAAAATCATACTCCTCTTCACCCTTTTCCTTCCCCTCCTTCTCGTCCTCCTTCTCCACCCCCTGAAGAGAACTCCGGCGCCGTGCCCCCCCATGTCACGGTGAGGGGTACTAGAAGCCAAATGCCGCCTGGCAGGGTTTCGAAAACTTCGACTGCCCCCAGGGGCACCGAAAAAAACAAAAGGCGCCCAAGTCTGCCCCAGAGAGTCTCCAGAGGGGTCCAAGACGTCCCAACAAGCCCCAAGAAACCCCACCATCACCATCATCATCATCATCATCATCATCAACATCATCATCATCATCGTCGTCGTCATCATCATTCTCGTCGTCGGCGGCTTCGTCATCATCCTCATCATAATCACCCGCATCCTCGTCCACATCATCATCAGCATCAGCATCTTCGTCATCATCATCATACTCATCCTCATCATCGTCATCATCATCCTCATCATCGTCATCATCGTCAGCATCCTCATCATCGTCGTCATCAGCCTCATCATCGTCATCATCCTCATCATCGTCATCAGCAACATCGTCAACATAATCGTCATCATCATCCACATCATCGTCATCATCATCATCAGCAGCACCGTCCACATCATCATCATCATCATCATCGTCACCATCATCGTCATCACCATCGTCATCATGATCCACATCATCGTCATCATCATCATCAGCAGCAACGTCCACATCATGTCACCCATGTCGCGTTGAAGGGCCGAACCCCCCATGTCACGTTGAGGGGTACTAGAATCCAAACCAGGGTTTCGTAATCTTCAACTGCCCAAAGGGTTCAAAAAAAAGGTGCCCAAGACTGCCCCAGAGAGCCCCCAGAGGGGCCCAAGAAACCCCAATAAGCCCCAAGAAACCCCACCATCACCATCATCATCATCGCCGTCGTCATCATCATCCGCATCATTCTCGTCGTCGGCGGCCTCGTCATCATCCTCATCATCATCATCATCATCATCATCATCATCATCCTCGTCCACATCATCATCATCATCATCATCGTCAGCATCATCAGCACCATCAGCATCATCAGCATCATCATCGTCGTCATCATCCTCATCATCGTCATCGTCATCATCGTCAGCATCCTCATCATCGTCGTCATCATCCTCATCAGCGTCATCGTCATCATCGTCATCATCCGGATCATCGTCATCATCGCCATCCGCGTCATCATCAACATCATCGTCATCGTCATCACCGTCAGCATCCTCCTCATCGTCGTCATCATCCTCATCATCGTCATCGTCATCTTCGCCAGCGTCCTCATCATCGCCATCATCATCCCCATCATCTTGATCGTCATCATCGTCATCATCATCATCATCGTCCGCCATTGTCCTCATCATCGTCATCGTCCTCATCAGCATCATCGCCATCATCATCCTCATCACCGTCATCATCATCCGCATATTTGTCCACTCATCATCATCGTCACCATCACCGTCATCATCATCCACACCCAAGTCATCCTCCTCCTCATCATCATGATCATCATCCTCATCTTCATCATCCTCATCATCGTCATCGGCATCATCATCACAATCCTCGTCCACCTCATCATCATCGCCATCATCATCACCAGCCACATCCACGTCGTCATCATCCTCATCATCGTCATCATCACCACCATCATCAGCATCTTCCCCACCATCTTCCTCACCATCCGCATCGTCATCACCACCCTCATCATCCTCAGCGGGGCTGGCCGCAGGCAGCTGGATAAACCGCCACTCGCCCTCCTCCTCCTCCTCCCCGCCTCTCCTCCCCCTACCTCCTCTCCTCCTCCTCCTCCGACCTCCTCCCCCTCGTCAGGTTCATCCTCCTCCTCCTCCTCCTCCTCCTCCTTCCTCCTCCTACTACTACTACTACTACAACTACTACTACTAGTATTATTACTACTAGTACTACTACTACTACTACTACTACTACTACTACTACTACTACTACTACTACTACTACTACTACGACTAGTACTAGTACGAGTACGAGTACGAGTACGAGTACGAGTACTACTACTACTACTACTACTACTACTACTACTACTGCTGCTGTTGCTGCTGCTACTACTACTATTACTACTACTACTATTACTACTACTACCACTACTGCGACTACTACTACTACTACTACTACTACTACTACTACTACTACTACTACTACTACTACTACTACGAGTACTACTACGACTACTACTGCTGCTGCTGCTATTAGTACTGGTGCTACTACTACTACTACTACTACTACTACTACTACTACTACTACTACTACTACTACTACGACTACTACTACTACGACTACCACCTACTACTAACTACTACTACTACTGCTGCTACAACTACTACTACTACTACTACTACTACTACTACTACTACTACTACTACTACTACTACTACTACTACCACTACCACTACTGCTACACTACTACTACGACCACTACTACTACTACTACCACGACTGACGACGTCTATTACTACTACTACTACTACTACTACTACTACTACTACTACTACTACTACTACTACTACTACTACGACTACGACTAAGACTACGACTACGACTACGACTACTACTACTACTACTACTACTACTACTACTACTACTACTACTACTACTACTACTACTACTACTACTACTACTACTACTACTACTACTACTACTACTACTACTACTACTACTACTACTACTACTAACTACTATTACTACTATTACTCCTACTACTATTACAACTACTACTACTACTACTCAACACTTACTATCCCTGCCTCCTCCGCCCCCCCCATCCTCCTCCACCTCCTCCTCCTCGCCACCTTCCCTCTCCTCCTGTTTTCCTGTCCCCGCGTCGCCGCCACCGAGGCACGACGGCATCGGGCACGCCGTCCCAGCGAGGTCTTGAAGAAGGCCGTCCTCGATGCAGGCCAGGACGGAGCTCCTGGGCCCCATCATCGACATGATTTTGAAGGTTCTACGCGGGGCCATTCTCGTTCTCTGAGTGGGCCTCTCTTCGTAAGGCGCGCTGCGCTGCGGGATCTGCGCGTATTTGAGGTGCGTGACCACGCTGGCTTTGACCTTATTGGCTGCGCGCGCCGCCTTCGACAAGGCTGCCTCGCGCTCCCGCTCCGCCAAGGCTTCCGGCCTGATGGGGCAAGAGTTGGCTTTATGTTCGATGCCCCCGCATTTCCAACAATGTTGCAACGTGGTCACCCCCTGGGAGCCACGGCGCCTCCTGGGGGCCTGCGCCTTCTTCCGCTTCCTTGGCTCTGCTGCGACGGGCGCACCCCCCCGACATTAGTCAGCTGCCTCAGAGACGACGGCGTTCGCCTCGGCCACCTGGAAGGCGCGGAGCTTTGCGACCTCTGGATGCAACTGCTCAGGATCCTCTGCAGAGGCCCGCTCTAACACGCGCTTGGCGGCAGGGAGGCGCAGTTCCTGCGCCCTGCGCTGCGCTGCCTCCAGGATCCATGCCTCCGCCATCGCCTTCTGCAAGACGGGCTTGGAAGCCAAGAGCCCCTGGTTCATCAAGTACGGCAAGTAATATGGATCTGACTCCCACGCGCGACTCAGGCTTTTGCGGCTGTGCTTTCCAAAGTCGAACTGCCGCCGCCGTGCCCGAGGCACAAAAGTGAGCGCGCTGAGGCCCCTGGGAATTGCGGAGTAGACGGTCAGAAAAAGACCCAAAACGGATCCGAGATGGGACAATCTAGCGACAGAGCGCGGTGCCAAGACGGACCCTGGACGGTTCCAAGATGGCAACGTAAGCGTTGCGTAACAAGAAAATGGGCGATGGCGGTTCGCCGCAGGCGACTGCGATGTACTCCGTACCGTAGTCATCGCCACCCTGCGCTGCATCTGGGTCTGCGCTCTCTCGCTGACGCGCTTCTGCTCGGTGCTTCCTGGATTCGGCGCGCCTCTGGTTCAACTTGGCCAAACGGGCGGGTTCGCCATCTGCCTCAATGGCTCTATACCACTCAATCTCTTGGGCTCGTTCCTCGTCATTCATCGGCCGCATGTCGTGTCTAGTCTTCGATTTGTGGCACCGGCCTGAAGTGAACCGGTCGAACGGGCCACAGGTGAGGCAAACCAACATGCCCTTCAGCATGAGCTTGAACTCATTGGACAAGTCAACCTCTGGATCTGGCGCTGCTGCTGCATCTGCTGCTGCAGCTGGTGCTACTGCTGAAGCTGGCCGTTTCTTGGGAGGCATGGGACGGGCGGTCAGTTCCGCCGAGCGGCGGTGCCAGTCCCCACAGCAGCCAAAATGGCTGCGTGGATAAGGGAGGGAGGGGGGTTTGTTGTTAGCCGCGGGGCTTCGCGCGTGCGCACTCCTCGACTCCTTGCCTGGCAGCAGCATGGGCGGGCCCTTCGACGGCGGCGGCGACAGCGGCGGCAACGGCGGCAGCGGCGACGGCGACGATGACGACGGAGGGGGAGAGGGAGGCAGTGCGACGCAAGGTTATCTTCGCGCCCCCGCGAGGCCACCTTGGAGGAGAGTAGCTCTCTGGCCCAGGACGCCACGCACGAAGCGCGGTTATCTTCGCGCACCTGGTGGGGGCCACATCCCCGAAAGCCGCTGAGGGCCCCACCCTCCCTCTCCTCCTGCCCCTCCTCGTCATCATCCTCCCACTCCTCCCTCCATCCTCCCACTCGTCAACGTACCCATCCCCATCCAAGTCCAATCATCACCATCGCAATCGTTATCGTCATCATCATCATCACCATCATCATCATGCTTCTCATCCTCCTGCTCCTGCTCCTGCTCCTCCCCCTCCTCCTCCTCCGTCCCTCCGCATCCCCGTCCTCTTCCCTACTCGCGGGCGCGCGCGCGCGGGCGCGCCGACGGTGGCGGCGACAGCGGCGGCAGACGCGACGGCGACGGCGACGACGGCGACGAGGTAGGGGGTGAGGGAGGCAACGCAACTCTCGGCCTCTAGAGGCCTTTTCCGGGCTCCAGGACCGTCAAAAGCCAA